GGGCGGAGGGGGTGGAGGGGGAGGGGAGCAATGTGCTGGGATGCGGATGGGAAGACGTGAGGTCAAGGCAGGGGAAAGGGAGATGGGACAGGGGTGGTATTGAGGAAGAGAGCTTGGTTGTACGTGTGCGTGTGTGCGTGTGTGCAATAGGAGGGCGTCAGTGGCAACCAGGTCAAACGTGTGACATGCAGTGAGGCAGGGCAGATGGTGCGTCGGGGTGCACGAGGGGAGGGGGCGGGAGAGGAAAAAGAGGGCGCAGGGGCAGAGGAAGGGATGGTCTCAGAGAGAAGGGCGGGCGTAGGGCAGAGAACAGGGGGGGCGAGGCAGCGGCGGCAGTGGAGGGCAACGGGCTCACACCAGGGGCGGCGCTTGTGGCAGAAGCACCCGAGCCAAGGCGAACACCTGGCGGCTCCCTGCGCCGCCAGGCAGCCCGGCGACAAGCACTCGGCCGAGGCCCCGCCCACCAGGCAAGATTGGCTTTCGCCCGCCGTTGCCGCCCTGACCTGCCCAGCGCCGTCCCCTGCCCCTGTGAAACCGCCTTAAAACGCAACACGTGCGCACTCACCTGCAGCGCGTACGAGATGAGCAACCCCATCGCGGCGGCGCTGGCGCTGCCGCTGCCGAGCTGCTCCACTGACACCAGCGCCGCCATGAGGGTGGACAGCGCCCCCAGGGTCTCCAGGCGCACACCCAGCCACCTGGTGGGGCGGGGCCAAGCCAGAGCTGATGTCATCATTGAGAAGGCAACACGCAGCTCGCAGCGTGGTGTGCGGGCCTAGACCCAGGGGTGTGCTGGGCGTATTGAGAACCTCAAAGGGCCCCCTCCTACCAAACGTTTGAATGACCAAGGAAAGTGGCGACGACAAATTGGATTGTTTCATTCTGAAGGGTTGTGTTGAACTGATAATGGTTTACGCAAGGAGGATGGTGACAAGCGCACACGGCCCCCTGCGCGATGCGACCCCCCCCCACGGCCCCCGCCTGACCTGTTGAGCCCCTGGTTTGCGAGCGACATGGCCGCGTTGGCGTTGACCAGGGCCGCGTGGCGCGCCCTGAGGGGGCCCTCCACCCCAAACGCGCGGATGGTGACCACGCCCGCCAGCGCCTCGCTGACGCTCGACAGGACTGGGGACCTGGGGTGGTGAAGGGTTTAAGGGGCCGCCCAGGTTTCAAGGGTTTGATGGGATTTGTAGGTGTGTGTGTGTGTGAGGGGGGATTCAAGGGTGGAAGGAGACCTTGGTTGATGGGGGTTTAGGTGGCAGTTGTGTCTACTGTTCGAGTGCAACGTATGTAAGCAGGCATCCGTATTGGTTCGGGGCGGGCAGCGTGCGGGTCAAACCGGCGGTGGGCTGCGTGGGTCGAGGCTCGGATAATCATTCCACAGTAAGAGGGCCGAGCCGCGCGCGGTGAAAGCGAACAAGAGCGTACGCGCCCTTTCTCCCCCCCACCCCTCGGCCCCACCTGGAGGTGGCGTCCAGGCGCTTGATCTGGATCATGCTGGCCTGGTAGACGTGGTAGAGCCGGTAGAACACCACCATGAGCGCCACCAGGGCCGGCAGCGCAAAGGGGGCGCCGGCGCCGATGAGGGCCAGGGTGGACACCAGCTGGAGCATTGACCTTTTGGTGGCGGTGGGTGGGAGGTGTTGGGAGGGAGCAAGGGTTGCGGGGCAGGAGTTTCTGAGTCGGTGCAGTTGGGTCGATGGGTCGGATGGGCGGTCCTCGGGCGCAAAGGAGCTTGGTGGGTGTGCGGTGTCGCATCGCCGCTGCGTCGTAGCGGATTGCTGCGGGGCACTGAGGGGGCCGGGCGACCTTGCAGCAATGCGGCTCGGCTCGACGGAAATCGCAGCAGCAGCTAGGGACTTGCTTCAGGAAAAAGCTAGCCCAGCAGGCATTTAGGAGGGGGGAGGTTTGAGGCTCCCCAGAGTCCTGTATTGTGGCGGCCTGCAGACCTGAATGCGAATGATATGTTGGCCGCCAGGTTTTTATCCACCTGTTGCAGGGGTTACGGTACAGGGTTTGCCAAGTCGTCTGATTCAGGAACGGGGCATGGGCTCGAGGACTGGGCCCCGGGGTGGGCAGGCAAGCAGAGGTGTGAAGGCCAGCGCAGGGGTCGAAGGGCGTCCCGATAGGAGTGAGGCTGCGCCTTGCTGGGGGGCGGCACACACAGCATTTGTCACGGAGGAGCAGTGTACAGCATTGAGAATCGCCCCTAGCAGCCCGCCTGCGTCGCGCCACAGCCTCACGCCTGCCACACTCTGTGCATCGAGCCCTCAGACCACGCACCCTCGGCCTCCCCCGCCCACCTCCGAGGTGTCCTTGGTCAGCCTGTTGATGATGCGGCCCGAGGGGGTGGTGTGATAGAACGACAGCGGGGCGGCCAGCAGGGATGACAGCACTGCGTCGTGCAGGCGCCGCCCCGCGCGGAGGCCCTGCGTTTGGAGGTCAATGGGTGGGGCGGCGCGGGGTCGGCTCGAGGGCCGTCAATCCACCATGTTTGGCGGCTTGGATGACGTTTTGTAGAGGCGCGCGTGCGTTCGATTGTTGGCTCAAGGTCAGAGGGTTGCAGGTCCGCATGCGCAGCTTCAGAACGAGGTTGAGATGGCAGCCCAACAGTCTGGTGCAACCGGGAGCCATGAAATTCAGTCGGGCATGCACACATGTCTCCCCAATCCTCACGCCCCAGTCCCCACTGCCACCCCCACCCGACCCCACCCCACCCCACCCCACGCAACGCCACCTGTTGGAAGGCCATCACCGTCGACAGGAACATGAAGACCAGCTGGGCTATCGATATGGCCGCGTACCTGTGGCGTCACAGGCACATCGCACGAGGAATGAAGGAGGGGTGGGTGCATGCGTGCGGACGTGTTAGGTGTGTGGATGCCGGGCAGATATCCTGATGAGGGGGGCTGCCGCGGCTGCTGCGGCTGCTGCGGCTGCTGCTGCTAGCGACCGAGGCAGGACAGGCAGTCCCAGACCGGCGGGGTTGCGTTCCAGGGGAAGAGGGAGGGCAGCGGCGTGCACATGGCCGGGCGTGGCGCTCCTGCAGGACCTGCCTGGATGGGTCAAACCGCCGCCTTTGCCTTCGCGTCTTCTGTTCCCAAACAATCACATACTTGAATGAGAACCATGTGCTAACCCCCTTGATCGTAAACATCCCCGGTGACCTGACGAGCGAAACCCACACCACAACAGTGCCCCCCTCACCCACACCTGCGCTTGCGAGCGTGCACGGGTGCACGTTTGCGCACACACGCACCCACTCGCCCCCTCTCACCAGGTCATGAAGAATTTGGGGGTGTAGCTGGGGTGGGGGTCATCCACAACACCTGGAGCGGGGGGGTTGGGTGTTGGGCAGGGTTGGGGGTCCAGGCAAGCAAGGGCTGGGGGTTGCAGCGCAGCCGCAAACAGATGGGCTGGGATGAGGCCACGTGAGCAAGCTCACCGAAAAGGTGCCGATCGCGCCACAATAGCGATGCAGGTCGGTCGCGAAACGACGACCGCAGCAGCAACACCTGGTGCATCCCCCTATCTTGGTGCTGCTGCCCCTCCGCCCCGCGGGGTGTCCCCAAACCCCGCTCACTGGTCCAGTAGGACAGCCACAGGGACGTGCCCACCCTCAGCGCCTCGGACGTCACGTAGAAGCTGCCCAGCACCCCCACCACCCCCCAGCCGCCGCACGACTTGACATAGGCCGCGACAACCTCCTTTGACACCCGCCCCGACGCGGCGCCCTCTGCCTGCACGAGCCGGCCCCCCGGAACGGCGCCGGGGCCGCCTGCGACCGCCGCCGCCGCCGCGATCGGCAGCTTCCCGTCGCCCGCGGGCGGCGCCTTGCCGCCCGCGGCGTCACCCGCGGCGTCACCGGGTGACGCCTCGTCCAGTTTGTCAACGTCGTCATCCTGCGAGGACTTCTCGCCGTCGTTCTCTTCGAGCTGGGTCTCCCTGACTAATGCGGCGAACCCGCCCCCCGGGATGGCCATGAGCTCATCCAGGGTCCCCACCTCTTCTGCGCGGCCGTCCCGCATGAAGACCACGGTGTGTACCGCGGGGTGCGTCGCGAACTGCAGCTGGTTGGTGGCCAGCACCACGGTCTTGCGGGCGAGGGCCTGTTGGCGGGAGAGAGCAGCCGGGGCGCCGGGTGGCGCGAGTTCAGAATAAAGCAGCACCGTGACCTGGCTCGGCTGGTCGGGGCAGCAGCGGGGCTGCTCCTGGGCTGGAGCCGCTTCAACTGTGTGTCACCCTCTTTGACCATTGCCTGGTGTCCAGATCCCAAGGCCGCAGGGCTGCCGTAATCATCCGCCCCTGACGGATTGCTGCCGATACCCCATCATCGGGGGTGGCCTGCGCATGCCTTGCGCCATCGCCCTCCCTAGCGGCGACCATCGCTGCGGCGCCCCCTCCCCCAATAAAACCCCCCTCACCTGCCGCACCCCCAGGTCGTACACCCTCCTGGCCACGCGCGCGTCCAGGGCGCTCAGGGGGTCGTCCAGCAGCACCACGTCAGAGTCAGCTGCGGTGCGGGGGGGTTGTTGACGGGGGGGGGGGGGTGCAGGCTTAGTGCAGGTTGATGGGTCGTGGGGCTGCAATGACGGACTGTGTAGCTGTCAAGCTGTGTGAGCATGGATCAGATGGATTGACAGGTTGAGAAACGGGGCATGGAAGTGTGTGCGCGTCGCGTGCGTGCCCAGGCTTCTGTTCTCGCGGCTCATGCCGCCGCGCCGCCCGCTGTCGGGATGACCAGATGGCAAGGGCGCGGCGGCCCACCGTAGATCGCGCGCGCGATGCTGACGCGCTGCTTCTGGCCGCCAGAGATGTTGATGCCGCGCTCCCCTGGACGGAGAACGATTGGTACAAGAGCGGCGATGGGTGAGTGTTCGGACAAAAAAAGAAGCATGCGGAGGAGGGGGGTTTGCAGCGAGGGGACAGGGGTTTCCAGCAGGTGGGGACAGGCCGTCCAAGTTGATGATCCGATATCGGTAAGCAGAGAAAAGTGGGGATGGCAGCAGCCCGAGCATGCAGTGCCAGCTGCAGACACAAAGGGAGCAGCAGCCATTTGGATGCTTCGCGGGGATGTGCCGCGCATGGCGATGAGTGCGGCAGCGGAGCAGCATCCCGCATAGGCTGCGCGTTTCAAGCAGTCCGCCTGACGCGTGTGCCTTGCGCCGCGCCCCACGCTTCACGAGCCACGCTTCACGAGCCATGCGCCAGCCAGTGACCAGGGCGCCCACCGAGCTCTGTGGCGTCCCCGGCCGGCAGTGCCTCAAAGTCCTGCTCCAGGCAGGCCGCCCTCACGGCCCTGGAGTAGCGGCCTGGGGGGGATTTGAGGGATGTGTGTGTGTGTGTGTGGGGGGGGGGTGATGCAATTATTCGTGTGAGATGATGCTGTGGGTTAGGGCACGCAGGTCAACCCGCCTTAACCTTTCTCAGGTACCTCGAGCTGAGATGTACAAGCAAAAAACGATGAACTGCACAAACTGGCGGGGACCCCTGCCGTGCTCTATTGTGCGGCCGTCCGCTGGGCTGTCTGCAGGGCTATCCCAGCCGACCCGACCTCACTCGCCAGCCGCGACGCCTGTTCCCCACACCAAAACCCAGATCGGCGCGAACCCAGGCTTTAACGGGCGTCACACCGCACGCCCCCGCCCCTCGCCCACCCTCTTCGTAGGGCAGCCCGAACAGGATGTTGTCCCGCACGCTGCCCGCCAGCACAAAGGGCGCCTGCGGCACCAGCGCCACCGACCCCTCTATGCGGGGCGGCGGGCCGCGGGCCTGGGGCATCTGTCCCAGGGCAGCCATGAGGAACGAGGTCTTGCCGGCGCCTGTGCTGCCGACCTGCGTCGGGCGCGGTTGTGGGTGGAAAGGAGCACTATGATGAGACATTACTCAATCACAGGGGACGCACGAAGTCCCACCGACAGCTGGAGAACCGTGGGCGTGGCGGCCCCGCCACTGCCAACGGCACCACCTGTGCGCACAGATCGCAGCGGGCGCAGCAGACGGCCGCAAGCGTGCATTGTTAGGCGCATGCGTGCATGCGTGTGTGCGACGACGTGGCCGGCTCACCACTGCGATCAGCTTGCCGCGCGGGATGTCGAGGTCGAGGTCCACCAGGGTGGGGGCGCGGTCCGGGTCCCAGGTGAAGTCCCCGTGCAGGCTGACGGCGGGAGCGATGACGTCACCCGTGACGTCACCGGCGCCGTCGGCGGCGGCCGGGGCGGCGGCGGCGTGGCCGACGCCGTTGGCGGCGCCGGGGCTCGAGGCGGAGCCGTGGGAGGAGGTGACCTCCTCCGCTGAGAGGAGCTGGTGCAGCCGGCCCAGCGCCACTTGGGCTTGGGTGGCCTGCGGTCGGGCGCAGGAAGATCGCCAGGGAGTGAGTGGGAGGTGCGCACGAGAGGTGGCAGCGGTCTGATTACGGGCGGGCGGCGGGGGCGCGAGAGCGAGCCGCAACCCACAAGTGCCAGGGGTGCAAGAACCGTGGTCCGCAACTGCCAGGCAAGCGGCGAGATGGCAGTACGCGGCCCTGATAATCGCCCAACCAGCGATGAGTAAAGCACCCTCCGCGTCGACTGCATTATATCATGACATGCAGTGACGCCTGTTCTTCCCGGGGCGGCCCTCTTCCCCCAAAGCCACCTGTGTGATGATCTGTGGCAGCTGGAAGAGGGGGAACCTCAGGACCTGGAAGAGGCTCAGGCTGGTGAAGGCCTCGGCTGCACTCAGGTTGCGGCCTGGGGCGGCGCGCCGCGGTTTGGTGGGGCGGGGTTGGTGGAGCGCATGGTGAGGGGTCGCAGGGCGGCTGGAGAATTGTTGTTGTCTTGGAGAAAGGTTGTCAATGCAAAGCGTAGAAGGGCTGGGGAGGCGCCTGCTTTGGTGCCCTGTGACCTGCACGCCCTCTCCACCACTGGCCTTGCCGCGTGCCGCCGGGTGCCTGCGCTGCTCCTGCGCAATCCGCCCCGCTCGCAACGCCGCAAGGCTCAACCGCTGTCCGACCGCCCGCCACGCCGCATGCTCATCCCGCCCACGTGACCGCACACCCACTCACCCCAACGTATTCACCGGATACCCACTCAACCACCGTGCCCGTTGTATCCCTCCCACCCCCCTCCTCCGCTCACCCATGAGCAGGTATGCGGCAAAGGAGGCCACAGGCACCAGTGTGGGCACCGCGTTCACCAAAAAGCCCATCACGTTCTGGGGGACAGGGGGTTCAGAGGGGCGAGGGAGGGGCGGAGGGGATGGGAGGGGAGATCAGGGCGGCAGGCGTTGGGGCGTGATCACAAGGGAGATGAGGCCGGCCTGGGGAAGGCCTGGACTGGGCTGAGCTGCCTGTGGCACTGGGAGGGCGAGCACCGCCGGGCTGCCTTGAATCAGCGTTACGGCCTGGAAGGCCGCGGTTGGGGCGTGTGCGGGGCCTGCGAGCGGACAGCTGTCCGGATGCAGGCTCACGCCACGTCTCATGCAGCAGCCGCAGAGCCTGGTGCGCCCAAAAACGCAATCGGCTCCCTCACTTTTCAGGATCATTTGCCTGCCTCCCAGACACTGATACATGTGTGCATACACACCCCAACACATGCCTCCCCCCCCAAAGATCCCCCGCCAGACCTGCATTAGCAGTGCCACTGACAGCTGCCGGAGCTCCAGGGCCCGCACTGCGTCGATGCGGCGCGAGAAGGGGGCCTCCCAGGTGGACGCCTTCACCACGTCAATGCCTGGGGGTGGTGGGCACAAGACCGTGTAGTGAGG